CAGCTCCCCCTGCTTGTGTTCCCTCTCTTGCTGTTTCTGTCAGATAAAATCTTTAAAAAAAAAAAAAAGAAAGCAAATACTCAATACAGAAAGCAAAACTGAAAGTCAGTTCTTCGAAGATCTAAAAAACAAAACACCCTTTAGCAAAACTCGTCAAGAACAATAGACAGAAAACACAAGTTACGAATGTCAGCTGTCACCGCACCTCCCACAGGCATGAGGAAGACAGGAAGTGGACACTAGGATAACTTCATGCCCACATGCACCACAGCGTTGGTAACCTGCACAGAGCACCCGTGAAGGCTTAATCTAACCCAAACGGACACAACCGAAAATTTGAACAGAGCTGTAAGTCTGCAAGAAACTGAATCTGTAAAACTTTCCCAAAGAAAAGTCCAGACCCAATGGCTCCGCTATTGAGTTTGCTCAAACATTTAGGAAAGAAATCATGCTGACTACATACAAACTCTTCCAGGGACTAAACATAAGGGATGTTTCTTAATTCTTATCATAAGGCCAACACACAGCAGATACTGAAATCTGTCAAGGATGCAAGGAAATTTATGGGTCAGTCATGTCTTATCAACACAGATGCAGAAATCCTATACAGAATACGTGTCTGCAAACTGAATCCAGCCATTACAAAAACAATGATTAAGAAACAACAGACCAGGAAACTGAGAACAGAGGGGAACACCTTACCCTTTTTTAAATTTTTTTTTCATTTTTTAAGTAATCTCTACACCTAACATGGGACTCAAACTCACAGCCCCAAGATCGAGAGTCACATGCTCCACTAACTGAGCCAGCCAGGTGCCCCGGAACACCTCATTCTAATAAAGGTATCCGCAGAAAACCCATGGCTCACATCAGACACAAGGGTGACACATGATGCCTCCGTGTCCGAGCTGGGACCACGGCAAGGGCACCACGAGTCCTGAGGCCAGGGCGTGGGGGCGGGAGAAAGACAGGAAGGTACAAAGGCCCAAGAGGAGGACTCAAAACTGCTGTAATTCAGAAACGACACAGTGTGTAGAAGACCCGAGGGACTTACAGAATTTTATAATAAGTAACTTCCGCAAAGTTGCTAGAAGCAAGCACAATATACGTGAGGCAATTCTATTTCAACACACTGGCCGACAATTACAAAATGAAATTTTTAGCAGTGCCATCTACGTAAAGCATAAAGAAACCCCCCAAATAAATCTAACCAGCACTGTGTGCCATCTGCACGAAGCCAACCACACACCGTTGTTGGGAGACAATAAAGACCCCATGCTGAGCTCCTGTGGTGGAGACCCACTGCTGGATCCCGAATGACCCCCCGATTCAGCTGAAAGCCAAGCGACGTGCAGCAGGGTGTCCGTGGTGGTGTTGTGGAAATACAAAAGCTTATTCAGAAACCCGTACAGGAAGGGAGGGATTTTGAAGGGTTACTGCAGAGTTCCATCAGTGAACACCTGGTGCATGTGTGCGAGGAGGGACAGACAGACCAACGGCAGGGAGCAGTGAGGAAGAGATCCTGAGCCTGTCAAGTGATTCAGGAGAAAGGCAGGCCTGCAGTTCTGCGGGAACAACCATGTTCTCAGTGAGAGCACTGCATCAACAACGGGAAACCTTCCTTCACACTGTGCACAACGATCAACGCACGACGGATCCTGGTCCTGAATGGGAATGGTAAAACAGTAAGCCTTATGCAAGAAAATGTAAGAGAAGCTCTTCCTGATTTTGGAGTAGCAAAGATCCCTCACACAGGACCCAAAACATCTTTAACCCTGAAGGAACAGAGAGGTAAACTTCACTTGAGAACTGTCTGCTGGAAGATGCTGTGAAGACAGTGAAGACAAGCCACAGACCAGGAAAGAATATGTGCAACACGCAAGTCTCACAAGGACTCACAGGCAGGATTTTAAAGAACTGCTGGTCAAGGAGAAAAAGGCACACAGCACAAGAGAGCAAGAGACCTGAACAGGCACTCGGAGAAAAGAACGCACAGACGCCCATTCGGCCACAAAAACGTGCTCGGCATCAGCACTCACGATGGAGATGCAAAGAAGTGTGTAAGGAGAGATCAGAGAGGCCCACAGGAACAGCTCGAAGTCGGAGGACTGAAAATACCAGGCGTTGGCAAGGACGCAAGGAACGGAGCTTATGCATGTGGCCGGTGGAGAGAGCCGCCGGGCAGGGTCTACCGAGAGCTGGCCATGCAGTCCCACAGGCCACACACTGTCCTCTAGGAGTGACCCAGAGACCTGACGCTTGCTCCCACAAGACATGGCCAAGAATGGTCCCAGTGGCCTCACTCAGGATGCTCCAGATGGAACCACCCAGGTGTCCAGAAGCAGGGTGCTGGATGAACAAGCTGGTAGATTCACGCCCTTGGAGGGTGTTGGTTTCGGGCTATATCGTGGAATAAAACGCGGTGATCACGAAGAGCCACCCATGTGTTTTAGGCACAACCAAGACACCAGTGCCCCACGCAGGTGTGGATGAATTTCACGGAGGCCACACTGGGCTGGGGGAGCTGGAGGGGAAAGGACACCCATGCCCGACTTGTGAGAGGCGAACCAGGACAGCATCCAGAGCACGGGCTGGTGACCTGGCACGCTGACCGGGAGTGGGCCGAAGGGAGCTCCCTGGGTGCCACGAACAGGGGGCGCCGAGCTCTGGGTGGTGGTCACGTGGGAGCCCTGGGTGCTGGTCGCGCGGGCGCCCTGGGTGGAGGTCGCGCGGGCGCCCTGGGTGGAGGTCGCGCGGGCGCTCAGGGTGGAGGTCGCGCGGGCGCTCAGGGTGGTGGTCGCGTGGGAGCCCTGGGTGGTGGTCGCGTGGGCGCTCTGGGTGGTGGTCGCGTGGGAGCCCTGGGTGGTGGTCACGTGGGAGCCCTGGGTGGTGGTCACGTGGGCGCCCTGGGTGGTCGCGTGGGCGCCCTGGGTGCTGGTCGCGTGGGCGCCCTGGGTGGTGGTCACGCGGGAGCCCTGGGTGTGGTCACGTGGGAGCCCTGGGTGTGGTCACGTGGGAGCCCTGGGTGGTGGTCACGTGGGAGCTCTGGGTGCTGGTCGCGTGGGTGTGTGGACGCTTCGGCATCCAGGACTGGTGGTGACAGCACACGTCCGTCCCCGAAGCGGTCCACGCACACGAAGCTGTGTGCGCTCTCCTGTAAGGGGGCCCCTCCGTGGATGAGTGCCCAGGACGTGCTGGCCTCCCTGGGGTTCCAACCAATCTGACACCTGGAAGGTTAATCCTAAGGCTTTGGTCGCGACCTACACTGCCTTGCAGGACGTTTTGTTAATTTTCTGAAGCGAGTGGGAAACGTGACCTCTAAAATGCAAGAGACAGAAGTAGCAGCTTATAAAAAAGTATAAAACGGCCACTTCAAGGGAAAGGATGCATCCCAGTAAGAGTGCTTTTTATCAGTTTCATGTAACATACACTCAGAAAGACTCGCTCTTTGTAGAGTGCACTCAGATGCCTAGATCATGCATCTGTCCCCACAGTGAGGAGAGCTGTGCCACCCGCCGATTCCAGCGTACCCTAACCCTAACCCCACCCACACCCAGCAAGCCCCTCTCCACCCCCGTGGCTTCCCTTTTCTGGAATACTGTGTAAGTGGGATCGTGCCGCCCGGGGCCTTTTAGGCATGGTTCCTTTCGGTCAGCATCATGCGCCTGAGGTTCAGCTACGCGTCACGGGTGTGACATAACAAATATAAATACTCGATTCTGCCCCACTTCCTGGCACAGTGAGTCTGAAACCCTTGTAATTCCCTACGGGGCTGGGGTGCTAGGATCACCTTCTGTTCTGACTTTTGGTCTTTAACTCTGGTTCCTGACACAGAGCTCCCAAATCCCCTGGGGTGTGTGGGCTGACAGGTCCCTCTGTGGTCCTAAACAGGTGGTTCTGGGTGGCTCCTGGGGGGGCTGGACAGCAGGAAGGCTGAGCCACGATTAGACACTTGGGACATTCAGCCCTGCACCATCCTCCAGAGAGGAGAGCACCTGGAGGCCGGGAGTATGACGCATCATGCGTACAGGGGAAGCCTACGTGGAAGTGAAGACGAGGCGCAGAGAGCTTCCGGGTGGTGAACGCATCTGAGCACATGAAGGGTGGGCGCCCAGCTCCACCGGGACAGCAGCTCCTGAGCTCGGGACCCTCCCAGCGCTCACCCCGTGTGCCTCTTGCTCTGTCTGTGCAGCTCTATCCTCCCCCAAGGAGGGCCGTGGGAACCCCCAGTTTATGGCTGGTCGGTCAGTGCACAGGTGAGAACCTGGGATTTGTGGCAGGTGTCAGAAGTGGGGTGGCCCTGGGGAGCTGAGCCCCTGACCCCTGGGGTCTCTGCTCTCGCCATGAGGTGGTACGAGAACTGAGCAGAGGGGCAGGTGATAGGTGCGTAACACCGTACGTGTCCTAAGTGTCTCTGAATTCTACTTTTATCGTAGTTAAGATGCTGATGGCATTTTATGTATGTTTTACCTCAATGAAGAAATATCTACTACCTGATTCTGTTCACGTAAAATTCTAGAAAACTCACCTAACCCACGATGACCAAGTCCCCGCGGCAGCCTGGGGACGAGTGGGGTGGCATGGGAAAGGGCAGTCAGGGCATGTTGGACACGTGTGTTGTCGAGACTCCGTGCATAGTTTCAGGGGACACACATACGTCACAGCTCCTCAGATTACACACGGGAAGCGTGTGCTGTGTATCATACATCAATTACACCTCAAGGAAGCTGCCAGAAATGGGAAGAAAGATGCACTGTGAAAAATACACACGTGAAAAGGTGTTCAACATAATCATGAGGGCAATGAAGCCGTGGATGAGTTACACGCGGGGGAGAACGGCTGAAGCTGGAAAGTGTGGAGACCAAGCGCTGGAGAGGTTTCACGAGAACCGGCACTCTCGCACACTGCTGGCTGGAGAGGTACCACGGGCAGCCCCTCCGGAAAGCACTTGCACAGTTTGTTGTAAAATCGGTCCCCAACAATTCAAGCCCGAGTGTTTGCTACCTGAGAGATGCAGACGTGCGCACGAGTCTTCCACGTGCACACACACACAGCAGCAGCTCTACTCACAAAACACAGTGGATACAACAAAGCACTCACCCACCGGGAAACACGTAAGCCACGGTGCGTGCACACACGGGGCACCGTCTGGTACCCGGTGACTCCGGTGGGGAGGAGCATCACATTATTCCGTGTGAAAGACACCAGAAACCAAGGACAGCACGATTCCTGTCACGTGAAATCCCCAGAGGCAAAACCCAGCGCCAGACCGCGTGTGTGTGTGACACGGCCACGGAGACAGGGATGGGACTGACTGCGAGGACAGGGCTCCCTGCCCTGACGAGGTGGCGCAAGGGGACAGATCCGCCAGAACACATCACGACGTACGTGTAACGCTAGGAACCTTGCTGTGCATAAACGCTACGTCAATAACGCAGACCAAGTAGGGATGACTCACTCGAGAAGCTGGGAAAAAATCACGGAATAGGAAAAATTACAAGAAAGTAATAAAAATGAGCAGAAATCATGAGATAAAAAAATAAATCCCTGGAGCTGATGGATGCTCATCTGAAAAATAACATAAGTCCATCTCCACCGTGAGTAGACAAGAAAGGAAACAGAAATAAATAATCCTACAAAGGGTCATACATACAGATCTGATAAAGATTTTAAAAACGATACAAGAAGATGAGGAAAAATGTTGAAGCAATAAACGTGTAAGTTACACAAAGAATCATTTTAGAAGAAATATAAATTGATGAAAATTGACTCAAGAAACTAAAATCTGAAATAGAGCCAACAGTGAGGGATGTAAACGCTGGAAAGAGTACGATTATCCGCGCAGATAACCGTGCATCACAACCTGGGCGAGAACAGCTAGGCACACAGGAACTCCAGTTCCCGCGCTAACACGGGTCACGTTTCAGTTACGGCGGCACAGACGTGTGAGCAGACTACAGGCCTCACTGCGGCTCCTTTAGTCCATCCGCTATGAAGAGGAGGCGTAAAGACGTGCATCAGTTCTCTGAACGTCTGGGAGGACCCGGCGCTGTGTGTCTGTTATTCGGCTCTTGCAGACAGCATGGAGTGTGGCTGTGTGCCCCCGGCTCCCCCCGGTCAGGAAACCGTAACAAAGTAAGTTGGCTTTGCAAGCTCTCTCCAGGCTGCATAATGCGCCAGGTCAGCCCGGTTCTCCTGCACGCTTCAGTGAAAATATGGAAATCTGCTTCTTACCACCAAAACCAGCTTCTTCCCCAGCCGACGGGCCAAGTGATTTCAGCTCTTGTAAACCCACCACCTTGGACGGATGTTCACACAGGTTACTGATGCTGCAGCCGGAGATCGGGCAGTTTTGCTGGCCGAGGTCTGGAAGAAACATGACACGGTGCGGGCGGGATCCGTGGGAACACGGACGGGCCAAAGAAAGGCCGACCGCGGGAACACTGCTGTTGGCGCAGCGCAAGGGGCCACGCGTGTGGAGCCAGAGGAAGTCATGAGAGCCCATGATCGACACAGACGAGGCTGTGAGGGAAACTCGGACGCGTCCCAGAGGACGTGAGGCCAGAGATGAGCTTCACGTGAAGGGAACTCTCAGAAACATTTCACAACATTGGAAGCGCAAAGGGTACAAGGTTGGAAGCGAACCAGACTCGGGAGCAGGACCAGACCCGAGGCTCAGACGAGGTGCTCGCTCTGTACCGTACGCCAGGCCACACGTGGACAAGCCCCACTCGAACGTCATGTGCTAACGTTTTACAAAGAGATACAACACTAGCTGTTAGAATCTCTCATGTTTTAAGTTACAGTGCAATAAAAATTGGTCTTACTATTTTTTCCATTTTCCTACACGTCTGTAACGAACTGTAAGAGAGTTTTTAATGTCTCGACAAACATGTTTTAAAGGTTCCAGAACACTTGTAACTTGCCCCGGATAACACTGACCTGCACGGCGTTGGCTCGCACAGTTACTAATGTTTACGGTCCACAGCGAGGACCGCCTGGACAGACACGGCACGAGCTCCAAGATTACAGTGTTCGCTGATAAAATACCCACGTGTAGGACAGCGTGCTACTTTCTACCTCAGAAACGTATGAATTAGATATGTATGTACGTTTCCATATACGTGCGCATTTCATAACATATACGTATATGTCCGTACGTTGGCTCGTACTGAAAAACGAAACAACAGTAAAAACAGTAAAGACACTGTGACCACCATTCCTTCTGGACGGGGTAAGGGAACACAGGGAAACAGACAGGCATAGAATGTGTACTTCTCTGAATATATCTGATTTTTGGCTTTGGCCTTGGAACCATGCATGTTTTTACACACTTCTAAAACAACACTTGAACAAAACTTTAAGAGACCAATCCACAAAAGAAGAGAACACCTCTGAACTCATCCTCTGAGACAAGGATTACCCTACCATCGAAACCAGACAAAGGAGCCACAAAACCATAACCAGTGCCTCTTACAAATTATGAATGGAGCAAAAATCATCAAAATACGAGCAAACAGAATCCAGGAACATATAGAAAGGACTATGCACCTGGGCCACGTGGGACGTATTCCAGGAACGCAAGGTTGGTTTAATGCTGGAGAGATCAACTCACGGAATACTCTGTATCAGTAGAATGAAAAACTAAAACCATCTGCGCTGATGCAGAAAAACCGTGTGACACCGTTTCCAAATAAAGACGCAGCACAGAAGCAACGGAAAGAAACGTCCTCAGCCTGATAAAGGAACCGCACAGCTAACGGCGCGCCTTGTGGCAGAAGAGCGGATGCCTTCCCCACCCGAGCAGCAACGACACAGGACTGTCCACACCCACTTCTCTCCAGCACCGCGCGGGAGGTCTCACTCAGCGGTCAGGCACGGGGACGAAACAGGAGACACGCACACTGGGAAGGAAGAAGCCCAACGATTCCTGCTTGTAGGTTTCTACAGAACGTTAGCGGCATTACGACGGACACGTGAGTTCATGAGGATGCAGGATGCAAGGTCGATACACAATAATCAACTGCATTTGTACACACTTGCAACAAGCAATGTGAACATACGTTTTAGAAAACAATTCCATCTATAAACCATCAAAAACAATAAAATGCTCTGGAACAAATTTAACAAAAGACGTGCAAAACACACTTAGAAACTACAGAACGTTTCTGAAAGAAACGAAAGATCTAAATACACGGAAAGAAGCCTCTGGACATGGATCGGAAGACCGAATATGAAGATGGCAAAGGTCTGCCAACCGATGTACAGACTCAACGTGACTCTTATCAGGATACCTGCTGGCCATCTGTAGAAACCGACAAGCCGATCCTAAAATTCACACTGCATTACAAAGAGCCCCAAGGAGCCCAAGCAACCTTGAACAAGAAGAACAAAGTCGGAGGGGCTACACTTCCCTGTCTGAAAACTTACTGCAAAGCAACAGTGATGAAGACAGTGTGGTCTTGGCATAAAAGCGGAAACACGGGTCCACGCAATACAGTCAGAATCCAGCGATAAACCCGCATTTCACCATCAACTCATTTCCAATGAGGGAGCCAAGGCCAGTCCACGCGGAAAGATGCGTCCTCTGCACACGTGGAGCTGGGACCCCTCGATGTGCACACAGGCAGAAGATGAAGTTGTGCCCAACATCGCTATTTACAAAAGCCAACTCGAAACAGATGCAAGACGTGCACGTAAGAGGTGAAACTATACAACCCGCAGGAAAAGAATGAATAAATCTTCCCGACCTTAGATTTGGCAATGGTTTCTTGGACAGGACGCCAGAAGCACAAGAAACAAACGGAAAAGTAGATAAAGTACGTCAAAATGAAAAGCGTAGCAATGACCCGGACAACGGGAGGAAGTACGTGTACACCACGTATCTGATCACGGACCTGTGTCTACGACACACAAAGGCCTCTTACAGTTCAACAGAGAAATGACAACCAATTGAGAAATGGGCAAAGGATGCGAACAGACACTTGTCCAGAGACGTACAAACGGCCAACAAGCACGT